AAATCCAAACCAACTGAGTTTTTTTTTTTTTTTTTTTAAAAAGGGCATATGATGGCCAAAATATTACCTTTAATACTAGTAAAATGGATATTGGAGAATGTAGCTTCCTTATATCTGTTGGAAAATGGGCTAATGCTGAACCCCACCAGTTGTTCTGTACCCACTAATGGGGTAGGGACTTTCCCACTAAGCTTATAGCAGGCCAAGAGCAGTGGTGCTCTCTGAAGGCAGGTCAACCCCAAACAGGCCCAGGTAAGAGCGGGGCATATCAACCTATGTCCATAATAACCAATGGTAAGTATGTTATTACTTCACTCCTTAGTTAGGCAAGTCCCTCCTGGGGTAAGAATGAATGAGGGGACAGAAGGAAGCCAGGAGATGATGTATGTCCTCCTATAAGGAAGTAAACTTCTGTAATGGAGAATAAGTCTACCTAAATCAATAATTAAAAATTGGTCATATTTATTGGAAGCAAATGGTGAGAGGGAGACTTTGAGGTTTTCATTACACTTGGAAGAACAATTTCCAGAAACTAAGAAGTAGAAACAAGATCAGACTGAGGTACTATGGACCAGTTAATTGTCACCCCTTTATGCTATTTTTTTTTTTGAGATGGTGTCTTGCTTTGTCGCCAAGGCTGGAGTTCAGTGGTGTCTTGGCTCACTGCAACCTCTGCCTCCTGGGTTCAAGCGATTCTCCTGCCTCAGCCTCCCGAGTAGCTGGGATTACAGGTGCCTGCCACCACACCCAGCTAATTTTTGTATATTTTTTTAGTATGTATTTTAATGCGTTTTAGATTTGGGGGGTACATGTGAAGAACATGCAAGATTGTTGCATAGGTACATACATGGCAATGTGGTTTGCTGCCTTCCTCCCCATCACCTATATCTGACATTTCTCCCATGTTATCCCTCCCCAACTCCCCACCCCCCACTGTCCCTTCCCTAGGTCTCCCCCATACACCCTAGTGTGTGATGCTCCCCTCCCTGTGTCCGTGTGTTCTCATTGTTCAACACCCGCCTATGAGTGAGAACATGCGGTGTTTGATTTTCTGTTCTTGTGTCAGTTTGCTGAGAATGATGGTTTCCAGGTTCATTCATGTCTCTACAAGGACACAAACTCATTTTTTGTGGCTGCATAGTATTCCATGGTATATATGTGCCACATTTTCCCTGTCCAGTCTATCATGGATGGGCATTTGGGTTGATTCCAAGTCTTTGCTATTGTGAACATTGCTGCAATGAACATTCGTATGCATGTGTCCTTATAATAGAACGATTTATAATCCTTTGGATATATACCCAGTAATGGGATTGCTGGGTTAAATGGAATTTCTATTTCTAGGTCCTTGAGGAATCGCCACACTCTTCCACAATGGTTGAACTAATTTACTCTCCCACCAACAGTGTAAAAGCATTCCTATTTCTCCACATGCTCTCCAGCATCTGTCTCCAGATTTTTTAATAATCGCCATTCTAACTGGTGTGAGATGGTATCTCAATGTAGTTTTGATTTGCATCTCACTAATGACCAGTGATGAAGCAGTTTTTCATATGTAACAGTTGGCCTCATGTATGTCTTCTTTTGTAAAGTGTCTGTTCATATCCTTTGCCCATTTTTGAATGGGCTTGTTTTTTTCTTGTAAATCTGTTTTAGTTCTTTGTAGATTCTGGATATCAGCCCTTTGTCAGACGGGTAAGTTGCAAAAATGTTTTCCCATTCTGTTGGTTGCTGATTCACTCTAATGACTATTTCTTTTGCCGTGCAGAAGCTGTGGAGTTTGATTAGGTCCCATTTGTCTATTTTGGCTTTTGTTGCCAATGCTTTTGGTGTTTTGGTCATGAAGTCCTTGCCTGTGCCTATGTCCTGAATGGTTTTGCCTAGATTTTCTTCTAGGGTTTTTATGGTGTTAGGTCTTATGTTTAAGTCTTTAATCCATCTGGAGTTAATTTTAGTGTAAGGTATCAGGAAGGGGTCCAGTTTCTGCTTCTGCACATGGCTAGCCAGAGAACTATATTTTCTAAATGGAAATACAGTACTACTATAACAGAATAGTATAAATGAAATGGTATCTTTTGTTTCCAAAGTCAATACACCAGAGTGATGCAAAAATAATGGTAAGAGCGAGATCATTTTGTCGCAAAGTTATCTCTGGGTAAACTGTGCAGCCGTAAGCGCTGCCAGTGAATATTCTTGCCAAACAGGAAAAAGGTTGTCAATATCAGGAATGAGAGGAGGATAACTACAGCTCTTATATGCAAGACAAAGAGTACAAGGGAATATTATAAAATTATTCTTGAGGCAAATGGGGAAAAGGTTATCAATATCAGGAATAAGAGAAGGATAACTATAGCTCTTATATGCAAGACAGAGTACAAGGGAATATTATGAATAACATCCCAAATAATTTGATAACTTAGATGAACAAAGTCCTTGTATAACACAAATTAGCAAATCTGTCCAAAGAAATAGAAAACCTAAACATCTCTACATCAACTTTAAAAATGAATTCGTAATTAAAAATAAATGTTTCTACAAACAAAAGTCCTAGCACAGATAGTCTCATTAGTGTGTCACACATTCAAGAAAGTAGTAATATCTACACAAACTCTTTTAGAAAAGAGAGGAGGTGGGAAGACTTCTGGACACCTTTTATAAGGCTTATATTATCTTGATAAAGCTAGAAAAAATTCAAAAACCACAAGAAAACTATAGACCAATAACTCTCACAAACGTGGAAGTGAAGATCTTTAACAAAATATTAACAAATAAAATTCAGCAATATACAAAAATGATGTTATGACTGAGTGATGGATTTATTCCATTAACTCAAGATTGATTTAACATGAGAAATCCGTTAATTTAATTCACCATATTAATAAAGGAGAAAACAGTATCACCTCAATAAAGTATCTGTCAAAGTTCAACACTCACTCATGATTCAAAAAGAAAAAAAGGAAAAATCTCCCAGCAAGGAAAGAATACAAGGAAATATCTTTGGTGTGAGAAAGGTTATTAATGATCACTTACAGCTAATATCACAGTAATGCCGTAGGACCAAATGCTTCCTCCTAAAGTTGAGAACAAGTCAAAGATAACTGCTCATCTCATCCCTATTCATTATGATGTTCCAGTCAGTGCAGGAAAGCAAGAAAAGGCAGGCAAAATAGAAGTAAACTGTCATTATGTATTAAGATCATGTACATAAAAAATCCTAAAGGAACTGCAAAAAATCGTAGAACTAGTGGGTGAATTTAGCAAGGTCTAGATATGAAAATCAACTGTATTCCATGAACTAGCAGCAAAATAACTGAAAATTAAAAACAATACATTTCTAATAAGAAAATGAAGTGGTAAGGGCCAAATTAACAAAATAGGAAGAAAAATTAGAATGACAAGACTTCTCAACAACAAAATCAAGACTAAGAAAATTAGTAACACTACCCTGTACCTCAGAAGTGAAGGCAAAATTGAATTCATTTTAGGGAATACACAGAATTTGACCATTATCAAAATGACAAAGCAGAGTAGTTTCTTAGTTCATTTGTGTTGCTATAAAGGAATACCTGAAGCTGGATAATTTATAAAGAAAAAAATATATATTTGGCTTACAATTCTGGTGGCTGGAAGATTGGGCATGAGGTGAAAGCCTCAGACTGCTTCCACTCATGGTGGAAGGCAGAGGGGAGCTGGCATGTGTAGAGGTCACACGGCAAGAAAGGAAGCAAGAGAAGTGGCACCAGGCTCTTTGCTCCCTTGGGAACTAATAGAGTGAGAGCTTACTCATCCCATCCTCCCAGTGAGGGCATTAATTCATTCATGAGGGACCTATTCCCATGACCCAAACACCTGCCATTAGACCCCCCAGCAACACTGGGGATCAGACTTTAACATGAGATTTGGAGAAACGAAATTGTAGTAGATAGACAGCCAAAAAAAAAAATTCAATGAAAGTAAAATTATAGCAGTTACCACAATACATGTACCTTTATAATTCCCAAGGAAGAAAATTAAACAGATAAGAATTAGAGAACCTGTAAGACTTAAAATCACTAAAAAACTAGTACAAAATTTCCCATGAAAGCATAGAAAGATAAAATGGTTTTAGTGTCAAGTTCACCAAACCCTCAGTAGGTACAATTGTTTCCACAAAGCAAAAAAAGAAAACATTGCTAGTATAGCCTTGATACCAAAAATTCAAGGTGTATACAAGAAATGATATAGGCAAATTTTACTCATGATCTTAGATACAAAAAATCCTAAACAAAATGTTGTCTGGGCATAGTGGCTCACACCTGTAATCCCAGCACTTTGGGAGGCTGAGACAGGTGGATCACTTGAGGTCAGGAGTTTGAGACCAGCCTAATCAACATGGTGAAACCCTGACTCCACTAAAAATACAAAAATTAGCTGGACATGGTGGCACACACCTGTAATACCAGCTACTTGGGAGGCTGTGGCAGGAGAATCGCTGGAACCCAGGAGTCGGAGGTTGCAGTGAGCCAAGATTGCACCATTGCATTCCAGCCTGGGAAACAGAGTGACACTCTGTCTCAACAACAACAACAACAACAACAAGTTAGCAAATTAATTCTACCTATGTATTAAAAAATTATGACTTAGAAGAAAATAGAAGGGAAAATGCTTTATGACATTTTTATTTGAAAATGATTTATTGGATGTGACACCAACAGCACAGGCAACAAAAGAAAAAAATAGACAAATTGGGTTCAAGTTTCAGAACTATTGTACATCAAAGGACATTATCGACAGTAAAAAGGCAACCCACAGAATGGAGGAGGACATTTGGAAATCATATCTGATAAGGGACTAATATCTAATATATATACAGAATTAAAACACAACAAAAAACAACCTATTGGATTTGAATAGACGTTTCTTCAAAGATATGCAAATTTAAATGTTCATTGATGGATAAAGAAAAATTAAGAGGCTCGGCACCATAAGAAATCTTTTATGATGATAATGCTTAAGTTCAGTTATTTATATTCAAAAGAAAAAATAAATTAACTTTATTAAAGTTTTAATACAAAACATCCCATTTGAAGCACAGTTCTGAAGAAATGTTTATGAGCTAGGGTACTATTAAGAGAATATTCTATGGCCATAGCTTACTCCGTTTGTGTACTCTTACAGATCTTCTCTTGAAGCAATAGAAAGAAGTGTAGATTCAGTTTAAACAATATCCAACAAAACCTTCATTTCATTTGTTTCATACTTTTTTTAGAACGTCTCAAATCCTTTTTCTGTTTGAAAATAGGAGAATTCAAGAAACACAAATCTGTAAAAGGGTCCCCTCTTCTCAGCTTCCTGTAAGAGTAAAAAGAGACGTCAGGCATAATATAAGAATCCTAATATTAACTTACTCTTCAGTATCAAGTTAAAACACAACAATTTTAAATGTTCTCACTTCAGTTTTTTTAAATCAAATGTTTATATTTCAGATAAAACTCATTCTTGAACAAAGCTCCAATAACCGTAGTCCCTCCACATGTATCATTAAAAATGAGTTCCCACAAACCAAATACTTACGAAACGAGAGTAGGCTCCTTATAGTTCACACTGGCTGTACACCTACGTTTAGGTAAAGACACTGCTGGGCTTGCTATATTCTTTTTTGGAGAAAGAGAAAGCTTTCTGATTTTCACGACAGGATACAAGGATACATTGGTGATATCCTTCAGGCTAAGATGAGGTGACTGGTGAGTTTCAGGTGGTATACCTATAAAACAATTTTTACTGAATATGGCTAAACCCCTCCACAAGAACTAAAATTGTATTCCATTTTATATATTTTAACTGTATACAAAATCCAGCACTTAATAATACAATTATTTTTTGAGACGGGCTCTCACTGTGTTGCCTAGGCTCAAGTGCAATGATGTGATCTCAGCTCACTGCAACCTGTGCCTCCTAGGTTCAAGCAATCCTCCAACTTCAGCCTTCCAAGAAGTTGGGATTACAGGTGTGTGCCACCATGCCTAGCCAATAATACCTTTTTTTTTTTAGCTTTGTCATTTTTTTCTCTTCCTTTCAGACAGTGTTGAAACAGTAATCATAATAGATATGAAGAACTGATAGAACAGAACACATTACTAAAATGTAAAATTCTAGGATAGCTTGGGCATAATGAGTTAGTTTAGCCATGGAATTTCATTTTAGTCACACCTTGCTATTTAGAATAAAGTCTTCTCTCTTTATCAGTACCAGTGTTTATTATCAAGTGTCTTCCTAGTCTTATAAAGCCGCTAAAATTCCTTCTACTAAATAAATGAGAATTCTAAATAACAGCCTCTGTGTAAAGCAGGAGGAAAGCTAGCATGTTAAAAAGTTACTCAGTGTTTTTCCCATCATAAACATCCAACTTATACTTTGGAGCTATACCTATTTGGGAGGTAAGTGTCCAACACATAGTAAGGACACTACAAGACAATCTCCTCAAATAGCTTCACAAAGCAAACTATATCTCCAAAAAGGTAAACTATAACTGTGAAATGATTGTACACAAGAGCCATATGCTCCAGTGTCGTTTTATAGTCTGTCCTTTTTGTTGCCACGTAAGTATACTGTACTGTATTAATTATTCCAACTTTCAGTTTGAGATATACATCTTATACAATAATATCAGATCAACTGCTATATTCTAGAAAAATGCTTCTCAAACTTTAATATGTATATGAATCCACTGGAGAACTTCTTAAAAAGATGCAGACTGGCCAGGCACGGTGGCTCATGTCTATAATCCCAGCATTTTGGGGGGCCGAGGTGGGCAGATCACTTGAGGTCGGGAGTTCGAGACCAGCAAACCAGCCTGATCAACATGGAGAAACCCCATCTCTACTAAAAATACAAAATTAGCCGGGCATGGTGGCACATGCCTGTAATCTCAGCTACTTGGGAGGTTAAGACAGAAGAATCACTTGAACATGGGAGGTGGAGGTTGTGGTGAGCCGAGATCACTCCACTGCACTCCAGCCTGGGCAACAAGAGTGAAACTCCATCACAAAAAAAAAAAAAAAAAAAAAAAAGCAGATTCTGAGTTCAGGGTATGGGGTATGGCCTGAGATTCTGCATTCTAAGAAAAGGTCTATGGATCAAATATGAGTAATGCTATTTTAGAGTATATATTTTTTCTTTTAAAAATGTATTTTTTTATGGGCTGGGTGTGGTGGCTCACATATCTGTAATCCCAGAACTCTGAGAGGCCAAGGCAGAAGGACTGCTTGAGCCTAGGAATTTGAGACCAGCCTGGGCAACACAGTGACACCCTGTCTTTACAAAAAGTTAAAGAAATTAGCCAGGTGTGGTGGTGCATGCCTGTAGCCCCAGCTACTTGGGAGGCTGAGGCAGGGGAATCACCTGAACCAGGAGGCAGAGGTTGCAGTGAGCCGAGATTGTGCCACTGCACTCTAGCCTGGCGATAGAGCAAGACTCCGTCTCAAAAAAATCAAAACAAAAGATACTTGCCTGCTACCACTAACTGGCTAATTTAGAAAGTTGGTTCACTTTTTAAGGTTTTAATTTCCTTACAAACAAAATAAGCATCATAACACTTATACTTCACAGAATTTGTTCTGAGTATCAAATAAAATGATGTGACAATATTTTGAAAACGATACAACTTGACTACATGTTAGTTTTACTTGTATTAACTAAAATTGCCAAATGAGAATCTTTGTGGATAGGTGTAGGTTGTATTATGAACATCTGAACTATGCCTACTTTTGATCTAATAAGATTTTTTATTTTGTTTTCTGAGCCAGTTTTAGAGATGTCATACAAAAGAACACTAAGCCTATCAATTGAGTAAATAGTTTCTTGCTCTCATTAGGCCATCTTCACTAACTAGAAAATTATTTTAAATCATAGTTCCTGTCAAATTTAGTACAAAACAAAACCATTAAAATAAGTCACTGGATTCAAATATGATTTCACTTTCAAGAAGATATTTCATGTAAGTGCATAAAAGCTACTTTTTAATTCAACCTAACTCCACAAAAAAGTCCCACTTTTTGGACTCCTTGGGAGTCCTCATTTACTGAAAATAAAAATTCTGACTCCGTAACAAGTAATCTCTGAATTAGGTCAGAGCAATACAACTGTGATTTCCACACCCAGCCCCCAACTATTTAATCAGACCATAACTTCTCCCAAAGAGAGAGAGATGGTAAGTCTCTAACCTCCACCTGAAAAACAGATGGTAAGTATAGTATATAAGCATCAGTAGTGATCATTTATCATAAACATTAAAAACGCAGGCAAACAAGTAGATCACTTACTTGTAGGAGTTTCTGTTGGCTTAGAACCCTCTGTCTCTTTTTCATCAGTGTATTTCAGTGCTCTTTTAGATCGAGGCCTGGTGACTGGTCTATCTGAATCACTGGTGGGATTCTGAATGCACTTGCAAGTGGGCAGATAGAGGTCATCAGAATCATCTTCTGAACCACTTGATTCACAGATGCTCACTTCAGACTCATTCTTGTTTTCTTCTCTGTTAGAGTCATTGCTCATTTTTTGTCGGAAAGGAGTAAGATGAACACCCTCTTTCAAATTGAAATTGTAAGCATCATTGGAACTGACAGATTCGTGCATTTTTTTTTGTAAACAATTTTTTTATTTTTGCTTTTATTTTCTTTATATTTTGACATAGGTTTTGATTTTCTCCTGTTAGCTTTTCTTTTCTCTTCTCCTTTTCTTTCTTGTGCATCTCTTTGCTTACTTTTAGTTTGTTCAGATTTAGATTCTAAAAAGTCTTCTTTTGTTTTAGTAAATGTTGCTGGCTGAATCAGCTTTGGTGGTAAGTTAACTTGGTCTGTGTTCCATTGACAAACATTGTGTTGTACATTTTGAGGTATGTGCACCTTTACTAGTGGGTCTAAAAATCTAACTCTTTCCAATTCAAAAGACTTCCCCGCCAAATGACTGGTTTCAAAACCAAAATCATCCAAGCTATCAAACGGACATACACTATTACAATGTTTTTTTAAACTGCTACGGACAGATACAGTTCTAGGTAAGATATTATCAGTGGACTTAGCTTCACCTGAATCATATCCCAGTGTGTCTTGAGGAATAGTAGGTATCTGGTCTGAGAATTTAAAAAATAAATGAGAAAAATAATTTGACACTGTGGAAATTTGAATTTCAAGAATTTTAGAATTCAAAGTAAAAATCTCAATGACCAAAAAGTCATTCTGTAGTTTTTCTACATTATAAAATTTGTAAATAAAAATCTGGTGACCTTAAGTATTACCATCTATTTACTTGTCATTGATCAGCTGATAGTTTATATGTGACATGTAAAATAATCTTGTACAGGTTCAGTATCCCTAATCTGAAATCCAAAACTTTTTCAGTGCAGTCATGATGCTCCAAGGAAATGCTAACTGGAGGGTTTTGGATTTCAGATTTTCAAATTAGGGATGATGAACTGATATAATGCAAATATTCCAAAATTTAAAATAAACCCAAAACACTTCTGGTCCCAAGCATTTTTGATAAGGGACACTCAATCTTTATAATCTTTAAAAATATAACAGGCTTTTATGTGCTCGTTTTAAAAAAAATGAATAAATAGTCTATCACTGAGTACAGATTCAGAGAAGCAGAACCTCATATTCCAAAGTGGGACAAAAGTAGGACCTCCTGGGCAGGTCCATAGACTGGCCAGGGGACAAAACTTTTCTTTGAAAAATAAGTAAAATTTGGGTAACTAGAAAGCTTCTCAGATAAGAAATATAATCTGTATTTTAAGCAAAAGTGAGGGTATTTGGTTTGGCTTATTCAAATGTTATCCCCTCTTTGAAGCTTAGTTCAAGTGGAGGAGACTGACATTTGAGAAGGCAGATGTATCAATTTAAAAGAGATAAGAAGGGGATGGCTCTGGAGTTCAAATTTGATTTTAAATCCTAGCTCCTAACATGTAGACTTCTTCATGTTAGGTACTTTTTCTCCTTGAGTTCCTATAAAATGGGACTAGCTGTACTTATATTCCCAAGTTAAGTGTGGGTTAAGTGAGATTATGCATGTAAAATGCCTAACAGAGCTTGACATGTAGTAGCAATCAGTAAACTGCTGCCATAGTTATAGCCGAAGTTTCAGATTACAGATTTGACACAATAGATATATTTTTAAAACTCTATTATTCTGTGTGAAATAAACAGATTTGCTTTGAGAATACCAGATGAACAAATTTAAAAAGTTTTAAAAAAAGAATTAGAAAAATTTAATTATATTATCTGTTCTCAAAGACCTTATATTGCCCTTAACAATATTTTTAGGTTTTCACTTGAATTACCTTCTATTTGAAATGATTCTCCTTGTCCTGGAAGTTCAGCTTCTTCAAGAGGAATTTGCCTTAGAAAATACCGATGAAGAAATTTAACAATTGTGTAATAAAAACAAATTCAATATTTTCCTAAATTACAATTTTTCTTTCCTTTAGTATCATTTTGTAATTCAATTTCAAATCAGTACATCTATTCTGTATCAAAGAAAACCAAAGAACACTTATGTTGATTTACAGGGAGGTTTTGTTACAAATGACATTCAACTCCTTGAAGAACTAACCAATCAAGTTGGATCGTTCCACCTGAAAACATATTATATAACTTAATTTCATTTAATTAAGGAAACAGCCAATGAGAATTAATTTACTGTTTAAAAAATGTAGTTTGATTACTCAACTCTTTAGAAGCCTGCTTTGTCATTAGCAGAGCTGTTACCTGTTGGTAATACATGCTTTTGTGGTGCTTAACTATTGAACTCTTCTGAAGCTAACATTGTTCATTTTCTTTAAAAATGTTCTTTGGTTCATGAAACATGAAGTGTTCTTTATACTGTAACACTATTTCTGGCAGTTTCATTCTAATTGTAATTGTATTCTTTATTCTCTACAGAGAATTTTCCATTCTAGACATTAAACAGATTTAGGTAATGGCTGTGGTAACTAATAACTACTTAGAAATCTTCTACAAATTCGATTACCTTATTTTACCTTTTGCCCACAACATAAAGATTTTTGTCAGATCTTAAAGTCCAGCAGTTTAAAAACTACTGATTAAAAGTAATCTATACAGACAGAAATCATCTTAGTGATATTTCTGGAGAAGGGTGTGGACTTGAAAGAGAGATGAAAGAACTGTCTATGGCAGTAGTGCTCATCCAAGGGCTACTATGCTCTCCAGGGAACATGTGGCAATATCTGGCCATTTTTGGTTCTCCCGAGGGATGTGACTGGGATTCATTGGGTGGAGGCAATGCATGCTGCTAAACATCCCACCATGCACAGACAGCTCTCTACAACAACAAATTATCTGGCCCACAATGTTAATAGTAAAAACACTATGTCTTAATTGAAATTTTAGTTCCACAGATATATACATTAGTCAAACTCATCAAACTGTGTAACTGAGATCTGTTCATTTTACTGTTTATAATTAAATCTTAGTAATTCATAAATAAATAAAGTACTTTGATCCAAGAGAAGGGGAAGAGGGCATATAGGGTCTAGAAAAATGAACTGGATCAGCAAGAGTGTGTGACAACTGTGCTAAATATGATTTGTTTATTTTCTGAACCAGACTATTCATAGCGCCGGCAAAATACCTCATTTCAATAACTAATCCTTCTTAAGAGTAAGAACATGGTATATAGAAAAACATGACTGAAGGAAAGTATGAAGTTGAATTAAAAATTCTGGTAAGGATTCTTTTAGGCATCAAGAAAGGAGTGAAAGATCAGAAAAAAAGTTTTAGCTTAGCTATATGTGACAGAATTTCATTATATCAAATTCTCTTAAATATATTCTTAACAGAGAAAGCATCTGACTACAAATATACAAGTTGACATGATGGACATTTTCTTTTATAAATGAATCACAGAGTTAAATCTTTCTTAGTAATCATAATAAAGAATTTGATACTAACGGTAAATCTTTCACAAATAAATTTCTGGAGCTGTCATCACTATTGGGGTCCATTCCAGAAGAGTGTATTTCCTGGTTCTGTTAATGTATTAAAACAAAACACTGTTATAACTGAAGTATGCATAAGAAGGCATTAATTTATTCAACAATATGCACTTACTGACAGTCTATCATGGTGCCACGCGTGGTGCTAGGAACCGAGACTGTAATAGCTCAAAAGCAAAATAAGTCTTATCCTCTTAAAGCTTACAATCTAGTGCAAGGAAATACAATTTTAATGAGAAGATATATGTACAAAATTTCAGATTGCAATAAGTACCATGAAGGAAATACTCAGGGTGAGGTGACAGAGAGTAACTCAGGTTGGATTGCTCTTTTAAATAGAATGAATCTGAAATAAATCAGAAGACTGCAAAGGAGCCAGCCACTGAAAGAGCAGGAGGAAATGAAGGCAGTGGAAAGAGCAAATACACGTAAGAAAAATCTTGCTGTATTTAGGAAAGAAAAGCTGTTGTGGTTGGAACACAGTTACTGAGAACAGTAGGAGAGGTACATGTGGGGCCTTGAGAACCATGAGTTTAGATTTTAGTCTAAGGATGATGGGAAGGTACTTAATATTAAGAAAGGAAGTAAATGATTTAAGATTTTAAAAGATCAGCCTGTACACTTTGAAGCATGGATTGAAAGAGGGTAGAAAGGGTTAAGAGGTCATCATAGCAAATCTGGCAAGACATGATATCAGCTAAGATTAGAGTCATGACGATGGAGGTGAAGCCCAGTGGAAGGCCTTGAGATGACAGGTCAAGCTCAAGGACTGAAAAGGGATGGAGGTGGGAACAATGAGGGAGAGGGAAGCCTCTTATGGTTTTGGCCTAAACAAATGGGAAGGCTACTTCACTGAGATGAGTAAGACTTATAAAGGAAGGTAGAAATTATACAGTATCTTTGGGGGAGGCGCTTTGTATAAGGTATGTTTGAGATCCCTCGTAAATGTTTAAGTAGAGATATCAAATACTGGCTGTGTGTATATGTGTTCGTTTTTAGATTTTGAACTATAAACTGGAATGGCATTAGCAGACAGACAGTACATAAAGCTCTAACAGGGGATAAGATGAGTCTGCAACAACTGGCATTCATTCATTTTTTGAAATACAGTCTTGCTTTGTTACCCAAGCTGAAGTGCCGTGGTGCTAACATAGCTCACTGAGGCCTTGAACTCCTGGGCCGCAGCAATCCTCCTACCTCAGCCTCCCAAGTAGCTGGGACTACAGGTGCATGCCACCACAACTGGCTAATTTTTATTTTTTATTTTGTAATGATGGCAGTCTTGCTGTGTTGCCCAGGCTGGTCTTGAACTCCTGGGCTCAAGTGATCCTCCCACCTCAGCCTCCTAAAGTGCTCAGATTATAGGCATGAGCCAATGTGCATGGCCAACAACTGACATGTAAAGGTAGACCGAGGAAGAAGTCAGCAGAGACTGACATGGAAGAGTCGGAAAAACAGCAAAAAAACCAGGGGAACATAATATCATGAAAGCCAAGAGATCAAAGTATTTCAAGGAAAAAATGGTCCCTGTTTTGTATATTATTACTGGAAGATCAAGAAGAAAGAGAAGTAACCACTGAATTTGGAGGTTAAACAACCAAATGCCTTTGGAGGGAAACAATTCCTACTAGTTGACTGAACAAGGAAAAGAAAAAATTAGAAAACATTATATTCTGGAAAGAAAAAAAAAAAAAATAACTCTAAGCCAGGCATGGTGGCTCATGCCTGTAATCCCAGCACTTTGGGAGGCTGAGTTGGGTGGATCACTTGAGGCCAGGAGTTTGAGACACCTGACCAACATGGCAAAACCCCGTCTCTACTAAAAAAATAAAAATTAGCCAGTTGTGGTGGCACACAGCTGTAATCCCAGCTACTTGGGAGGCTGAGGCAGAGAATCGCTTGAACCAGGGCAGTGGAGGCTGCAGTAAACTGAGATTGTGCCACTGTACTCTTGGGTGACAGAGCAAGACTCTGTCTCAAAAAGAAAAAAAAAAAAAAAAAAAACTAACCCTCCCATGAAGGTAAAGAAAACATACCTAATTTTTATAGAGGCAGTTTTCAAATACACCATATATGTACTTATTGCCTATCTGTGTGCATATGTATATATTACATGTATCTAAATCACACGGAGGAAAAAAAAGGAATCAATAGGGAAGCAAGAACTCTTTCAGTGACTTCTCCTGTCAATGGAGAAGTGACTTTAATTCCATTCTCAAGTACCTACCCACCTCCTCCCATACCCCCTCCTCCTCCCACCCCCCACTTCCTCCCACCCCCTCACCTCTTCCTATATCCCTACCCACTGCACCCCCATATCCCTACCCTAATCATTATATTCTTGCTTTCTTATCTGACCTTTCGGCCTAAGTGCCAACTCAACTGTTTTCACTGGCACAGCGAACCAGTGGCCACTGGGAAGAAATTAAATGCTCTGTTAACATCTGACACTCGCCACTGCTTTTATTCTTTCTCTGCCCCATTTCCCTAGCAGTGGCTTCTGGGAAAAGGGAAAAATAAACTAGCTCGTCATTACTTTTTTCGTAAGTAATGATACACATTATTGTGTACACAATGATACACAACGGTACAGTGAGAGACAAAGAATCTCCTAAAGCAAACTTTCTCCCTATCTGTTATATGTTGACTAGCAGGACCATACTTGAACACCTTCTTTACAATCTTAGACACAAAGAGAATCAGATTAAAAATTTGATCAGCAAAATGTTTATGACATTACTTGTCTGGGAATTATAGTCTTCTCTATTTAGCCAACAAGTAGGTAAAAACGATTCTCCAGAAAGCACTTAAAAATATTCCCTATGGACCGGGTGCGGTGGCTCATGCCTGTAATCCCAGCACTTTGGGAGGCTGAGGAGGGTGGATCATGAGGTCAAGAGATCGAGACCATCCTGGTCAACATGGTGAAACCCCGTCTCTACTAAAAATACAAAAAATTAGCTGGGCATGGTGGTGCGTGCCTGTAATCCCAGCTACTGAGGAGGCTGAGATAGGAGAATTGCCTGAACTCAGGAGGCGGAGGTTGCGGTGAGCCTAGATCGTGCCATTGCACTCCAGCCTGGGTAACAAAAGTGAAACTCCATCTCAAAAAAAAAAAAAAAAAAAAAAAATACTCCCTATGACCCAAACAAAGGTAGTTCTTATAAAACCCCACTGGATATAGCAAAAAAACTAAGAAACTTTGACTCACTTAGTTGAACAAATGGACCAGCAATGCAAAAGGCTAAACTACTTCTGCATCCTGTCTTGCTACCTGCTTTAAGAACCATATTAGGCAGGAACAGGCCTCAAACACCTATATGCTTGAAGCTTTCTTAACTGGGCAAATGCAATAGCAATGCTGCAGCACTAAAGAAGGACGTTTTAAACAATTCATGCATAATTGAGCTATCAGTAATTCATTTCAATAACATAATTGATCTAAGCTATAAATTCATGGCTTAACCAAACTAAGAAATTTGGCCTCAGTAAGGAAAATACCTGAGCAGGTTCTTTTGTTTGTTGCGATGTAAGTTTTCCTTTCAATGCATATAGCTGACATGTGAGATAGTAACATTCTTTTCTCAGCTGTAGGATGGTATCTTGGGCTTCTCTCACTTTGGCTTTTTCATTTTCCAAAGCTAAAACTAACATTTTGTTGTTGTCCTGGTAATTTTTCAGCAATGTAGAAGTGCTGGCTAAAAGTGGATAAAAAATTTATCAGTTATTAAATCTAAACTTTAAAAGTGATATAAAAGAACAACATAAAAATCTCTTACTGATTGCTTGGCATGGTGCAACTGTAAAAGACCTGCGTTTGCCAATCTCTGCCAAGTTTTTATTCCTTTTCTCTTTCATTCTCTTCTTTATGTCTTCAAGACTATCTTGAAAGGACTTTTTCAGGCACCTTTCCTTGGCCATATTCTGCCTAGACAATAAAAAATAATTTTTATCAGAGAGAATATATCAAATATAAAACTTAAAAAACACAGACTGTTCATAAAGAATGCATTAAATAAACTGCAGAATTAGCTAAAAGTAGTTAGCTAACTTGATAATAAATTTTGGACCTTTAAAATCTCATTAATATTTTTGATGTCATCTCAGGCACTTTATAGTAAAGCTTTATTGAATATAGATTTCCAACCCAAAGATTCCACAATAGTCACTTATTCATTCTTTTAACAAATACTCACTATAGGGTATATGCAACTGAAATGCTGCTGAAAATGCTTATTATTCTATTTGTGCCATTATTATTTATGCTTTTTATAGAAAATGTTTAGGACCAACTTTTAGTGCTTAGGCTTACAGCATTAGTTCAGAGGCAATCACATATTTGGGTTTTGTTTTCCAGCTCGTCTCTAATGATTAAGTCATCAGATTAGGCCATTCAATTATTCTCCCATACTCTTTTAACCCAAATATCACTTATGATATTCACACACTCCCAAGAAAGTCAAGGTGATCCTCTGAGGTTTAAACTATGTAGCACTGCATACAATTTTAATAGGCTATTGTAACAATTACAGAGCTGGAAAGAGCAGGAACTTGGGCAGAGGAACAATCTAGCATTCTAAAAGTATGGCTAAAGTTTAGGGCTCTTTACTCCCAATAAATTATGAACATAGCAAAGATGACATTAAATATTGTTCTACATACAGTCAAACGTAGCAAAACTGACAGGGGAATATACTATTGAGTATATAAGTATATGTGTATAATCTTTCAATGCTGCAAATCAGGTAGGCTTTAGCATGCTACTAAACATGTCAAACTACTTTTCACAAACATCTTTTACTATAGATTGCACTTTGCAGATCTCAGAATTGCAAAAAAAAAAAAAAAAAAAAAAAAGAAAGAAAAAGACTTGTTTCCAATAATAATCTATGCATACAATTTCACCATAAAGGATATCTTCCTAAACCTTACACTCTCTTGAGTATTTTCTCCAGGCCTTATTTTCCTTTATGCAGTGTCTGGAATCTTAAATATAGATACTGTAGATACCACTTAAGGGCTTTCTTTCTACCAAGGTATATACAATACATACTGGGAGGTTCTTAGCAGAGCTAGGGCATCTATTTTTAAAAGCACTAATGGTAAGGTTATTTCACACAATTCAGTTAGAATTGGAGATGTTTGAGAGTCATAAAGATTAAGTTACTGATTTAGTTTATTTCAAAGGCAAAGCCTTTACCTAAAAAGTTTTAGTTATTACTTTTAATCAAGTTAAAATCACAAAAGAAACTTTCCATAATAAAAGTTTTATATCCTGTTTAAGGCGAAGGTGATAGCAGGGGGTGGGGAAGACAGAATGAAAGCAAAGAAAGGCTACAGTGCGAGGTGACGGTCTCAATCTGTACAGTACTCCCGTAAGCGTTCTGGATTAAAAAAAAACCTAGCATATTTGATCTCAAATTAGCCCTGCTGCGAAGACAGCCAAGTAGGACACTAGTCAGTGCCGGCCTCTCCAGGGCAACTGAGGAAGATAATGGCCTGGACTAGGAAGGACGTCAACCTTAAAACGCTGCACAAAGAACTGCTGTCAATTTTCTTGTGTCTTTAGGTTGAGCAGACTTTTAACTACTGTAAAAAGCTTTGCACATCACTTAATCTACACAATTCTGAAAAGCAGGAAGTTAGGATCTCCATTTACTTAACATAGAAGCCGGAACATCTGAAAACGCAGATCGAGTGGCTGAACGGCAAAAAGCGCGCGGTCAGTGGGACTCCACAGCCCACGCTTTCGGCCACCGAATTTAGAACGATACTGAGAACCGAAGGGAAGTCAAACAGGGATCATCACTACGCCCTAGCCTCACACCTTAAAAACTACGTCCTACTCTTTCAGGGACTCCGGAAAAGCCGAGGGGAGGTGGGGCTGGCGGATATGGGCCCGGCGAGCCTCCTGCCGCAGGCGTGTCCACAACGATACCTTGGTGACTACTTCTGCCACAGCTATCTTCCTCCTCCTAACATTTCAAGGCTTTTCAAGGTTCTGCCGCCACGCACGAGCCCGGCGCGCTGGGCCCTACAGGGCCGCAGCACCGTCTCCAGTCGCCTGCAACTTCCGCCGCCACATTCGAAATTCTCCGCCTCGCTCATCCATTGGTTGGTTGACGCACCCAACACCACCTGCGCAGGCAGAGCCCCGTCAGATCAGGCGACGTCACGTGACGCACACTCGCTCACGTCCACATCCGGGCACCCACCGGCCCCCAGCTTCTCCCGGGGGCGGAGCCCGCAACCCGCAACCCGCAATCCGCAACGCGCCGGGATTTTTTATTCGTAGACGCGGGGCTTTTAAGGGTGGAGTCGCTCCGGGACCTTTAAGGCGGGGTGTGTTAGGTAGTCCAAAGCTTCTTGTTTTCTTCAGCCTGACAGCTTCCAATGTCCCGGGTTGTGCTCAAAGGCTCCCTCTTGTGAGAAGAATCTCTTTGGTTGCCCGTTTAAGCAGTCAGCCAGCTTTGCAACACGGAGGCAGCTTCTAGGGAAGTTAAAAGCCAAACAGGGAGCAAATTCTGGGTTAAAGAGGTATTATTAGGGAAACTTTAGATATCTGAAATTTACCTTCATGTTCTTTCTCTTTGCCGTATACCTCTGGCTCTTTAACACTCTTCTCGGGAAATGGCACCAACATCCATCCAGGTAACCGACCAGAAGCCTGATAAATCATCCTTAATGATCTTTATCCTCTCTTAACCTTTCCCCGCCCGTCCGGTCAGTCACACTGTCCTCTAAACTTAAGTTTTTCTCACGCCCACTTTTCCCCACTAATCCAGCGTCCAACCTAATTTCATTCCCTAAATTCCACTAGTACCCACTCTGACTGCAGACTCCACTCTCTATATTCTTCATAGAGTAATATTTTTACAAAGCAAGTATCAAATAGGAAACTTCCCAGTGGCTCCTTATTGCATTTAAGGTGCAGTCCAAACTCCTTTAAGATATTTTATCCTCATAGAGCACCATGATTTCTGGTTATACCACTTGTACATTTTCTTTAATTGCCTTAAAATTCCTACTACTTTTGCTAATGCTGTTTTGTCAAGAACATTCTTTCCCTTGGCTGGACTTACTCCTGTGTATACTGAAGTTCTCACTGTAGAGGAAGACTTATCTTCCCCTAAAGCCCCTTAGTACCTGCTTTATACTTTCTTACCTCAGCCTCCCGAGTAGCTGGGATTATTGGCGCCTGCCACTATGCCGGGATAATTTTTGTATTTTTTAGTAGAGACGGGGTTTCACCATCTTGGCCAGGTTGACCTTGAACTCCTGACCTCGTGATCCACCCGCCTCGGCCTTCCAAAGTGCTGGGATTACAGGTGTGAACCCAACCTGTTCTTTTTTAAAGGTAACTAGCACATGCCCACTCTAGTGAGAATGGGCAGAGGGTTTTTTTGTTTGAGGTCAGAGAGTATGAAGTGAAAGTGAGCAGAGAGTAAGGCCAGCTTCATGAGCAGGCAACCAGTGCTCTTAGAAGCGTTGTGAATTTGGTTTAATGCTCTGCTGTTGCCATCTTGAAATGCTTAGTGGTTGATATTTGAACGTAGGTTTTGTAAGTGATGTCTGATGAGATAATGGAGCAATCTTGTGAGCAAATGTAATTCATGCAATGTTTGTGTCTGTCACGGTTTCCTGCTGCCCTATGTCTTACAGTCTTCAGGATGCTCACTAAATGGCTTCCATGAAACACTTATTTTGTACTTAGAGACCTAAGTGCAAAGTGCTCAGAAAGGCTCACACTTGCCATCTTGAAATTATTATGTTCTTTGAGACGGTGTCTTGCTCCCAGGCTGGAGTGGTGGTGCGATCTCAGCTCACTGCAACCTCCACTTCCCAGGTTCAAGCAGTTCTCCTGCCTCAGCCTCCCAGGCAGCTGGGATTACAGGCATCCACCACCACACCCTGCTAATTTTTGTATTTTTTGTAGAGACAGGGTTTCCCCATGTTGCCCAGGCTGGTCTCAAACTTCTGAACTCAAGTGATCCACCCACCTTAGCCTCCCAAACCGGGATTACAGGCTGAGCCACCATGCCCAACCACCTTATTGTATTTTCTAACCACTTACACTAAAAGTGATGGCATGAGAGGAAAAGGAAAGATAAGACATTCCACAATTCCTTTTCTTTTCAGTCCTTCTCTACTTACCGGTAAGCTGAAGGTATTTGTCTTGCATTTGGGACAAGGAGCGTCATATTTTCATTTCACATTGGCCTACACAGATTATATAGCTGGCCCTGACCAAAGGCTTGGAGATTCTGACTTTTTAAGGTGTGTCTTGCCTGTTCCGCTTTTAAGAATGAGTCAGACTTCAAATCAGGTCTTTATTATTAAAGCCTTCAATAATCAATAATAGAAATGGCTGAATTTAGGGGCGATGAGGGAAAATACCACCAGAGTCCTAGCATGAGTAACTTGTATGTACCAAAATGTACTACTGCCTCTGATTTTAGGGAACTGAATTCCTGTTGGAATCAACAGCTCTTTTAAAATATTGTGGAAACTACAACTGTTGCCAGGAAGAGTGCACATATTCCTTTTTGAACAAATGTGTATATTTCAAAGAGTACGTGTGAATTGAAGTTTGAACCCAGGAAGCCTGGCTCCAAAGTCCATGCTATTAACAACTAGACTATAGTCTGCTATTTCTCCCTTTTATTATAACACAGTAGTACCCAGCCTCATTCAGAGATAATCCATGGTTGAATTATATCAGCAAAGTTGTATAGGAACACGTCATCTAGCTGATAAACTGAGAAGAACCTATGAAAGGGGACCCAAGTAGTCAAAATTCCTTGTTTAATTAATAGATATTAGAATGGTTATGGCATAATTAAAATCATTTTAACTTCTTAAAACTCTTGCTCTCAAATAGTGAATATTTGTAGCTGCATTACTTTCAGGGTTTTTCAAAATGTGAATGCATGTTATTTCTACTTTTGTTAATTTCAGCTTTATGATGTACTTAAAATATAATGAGCCCGGGTGTGGTGGCTCATGCTTGTAATCCCAACACTTTGGGAGGCCGAGGTGGGTGGATTGTTAGGTCTGGGGTTCGAGACCAGCCTGGCCAACATGGTGAAAACCCCATCTCTACTAAAGAACAAGAAGTTAGCCAGGCATGTTGACACACGCCTGTAATCCCAGCTACTCAGGAAACTGAAGCAGGAGTATCGCTTGAACCTGGGAGGCAGAGGTTGCAGTGAGCCGAGATCACACCACTGCACTCCAGCCTGGGCGATAGGGTGAGACGCTGTCACAAACACACAAAAAGGTGTGTGTATATATATATATATATAATGAACACTCACATTCTCCCCTGCAAGTTCCTAAAATCCCAGTAAAACTGCTAATTTTTAATCTTTAACTGCCTTGTGCCTAATATTTATTACTCTATGCAGATTTTACTGACTTTGATTTTTACTTTGGAGCTGAAGTTCTGCACTGACTTGATACCTTCTCTTTCTTTTTGATTTCTCCTTAGTTGTTCTTTTCTTCTGACAGGGTTTCTCACTCTGCTGCCCGGGCTGGAGTGTAGTGGCGCAATCATGGCGCATAGAGCCTTAACTTCTCGGGCTCAAGTGATCCTACCACCTCAGCCTCTTGAGTAGCTGGGACCATAGGCATGCATTGCTATGTCCAGATAATAATAAAAAAAATTCTGTAGAGACGGTCTTGTTATGTTGCCTGGGCTTGTCTCAAATTTTTGGGCTCAAACCACTCTCCTGCCTTGGCCTCCCAAAGTGCTGAGATTATAGGCATGAACCAGTATACTTAGACCTGTCCTTAGTTTTTATTATTATAATAATTTTGTATTTTTATTTTTTCTTTCTGGTTTATGTTCTCTCATGATCTCCTTACGGTTTTTAAAGAAAAAATTAAATAAAACTCTTCTCTGTTTATTTGGCAGTCAAAAAATATATTAATTTGTCTCCTCTCTCGAATTAATATTCTAAAAAATATTTTTTGAGAAAGTTTCATACAGTAGTTATCATAGATTGTAGTGTGGATTAACTTGAATAGCAATACAAAAATTAGTGATTTGGTGACCAAAATCGTCAGAACTGAAATACAGAGAAGCATCAAAATGTTTCATTTTTTTGACATCTGCTTTTATTAGTTTAGTACTTTTTTCAGCTCAATAGGAACAGGCTTTGGCGAGTTTGTACATTCATAAAGTGGGCAGAAGACTTCAAAGAATAGATAGCACTTTATGCTGTTTTTATGATTCATTTGTATTTTTCAGAAATATGCATATGTATTGCTTTCATAAGGCTATTATTTATTGTATGGTAACGTTCATGTCCTACAGTTTTTTTTGTTTTTTGTTTTTTTTTAAGTGGCTCCCATTTCTCTTAGCATAGCGAGACATAGGAACATTTAATTGAATTATAATGGCTAACACTGAATGAGGGCATACTTTGTGCCAGCAAATGCAAGTGCTTTATATGAATATTTTATGAGTTATCATTTTACCCTCATGATAAAGCTTATAAAGTTGGCAATGTTATTAAACCTATTTTATCAGTTGAAGAAATTGAGGTGTAATGTGGTGAATCTAGTAAGCATGAAGCCAGGTTCAAGGTTTGGTGTAAGTCTGATTCCAGGGCCTGTGTCCTTTATCATGATGCCGTAACTTTAAATAAGTTTTAATTTATTAATGCTTTGATATTTCATCAAATCATTTAAATGTCTAAAGGCTTACCATGTACAAATGTGAGGAAGTCTTTGGGAATGGCTAATTAACTGTATTTAACAAATTAAGGTCATATGAATGAAGCAGATAAGCAAGGGAATGAGTATGGACAGAGAAAGGAAGAAGCTTCAGGTCACCAGCATTAAGTTGGTGGGCTCATCAACATTAAGAGATTGAGGAGAAAGGAGAAACCAGTGAAGAAAGTTGAAGTGTGTCCAGGAGAAACTGATGAAAAGCAGTGTCTTAGAAGCCAGGTGGTGGAGTGGTAGGGTTAAACGTCAGGTTGAAGTGGGTTCAAGAGAAGATAGGAGGAAAGGAATTGGAGAAAGTGAGTACATAAAGCTCTTTTAAGAAGGTTGAACGGGGGAGGTTGTGCCAGGGAGAAGAATAAAGGAGAAGGTACGACCTTGTTACTTTGGAGAGTCATGCATTTACTAATTACAAGTATTTGGGTTGGTGTTTACCAAGGTGTGTCCAGCATACCACTGTTGGTATGTGAGGTGATCATAGGTAGTACTGGAAAGCATTTTTTTTTTTTTTTGAGTCTCACTCTGTTGCCCAGGCTGGAGTGTGAGGTGATGTTAGGTAGTGCTGGAAAGCATTTTTTTTTTTTTTTTGAGTCTCACTCTGTTGCCCAGGCTGGAGTGCAGTGGCATAATCTCAGCTCACTGCGACCTCCCCCTCCTGGGTTCAAGCAGTTCTCCTCTGTCAGCCTCCTGAGTAGCTGGGATTACAGGCATGCACCACCACACTTGGCTAATTTTTTGTATTTTTGGTAGCAACTGGATTTCA